TTTATTCACTTTTTTCCCCCCAAAGCCCCAGCAGATAGTTGCATGTCATAGGTTCACATCCTTCCAGCTGCTGTACGTGGGACTCAGCCCCGCGCTGGACGGAGAAGCGGTGCCCCGGGGCGCGCCCGGGATCCGAACCCGGGCCGCCAGCATCAGAGCGCGCGCACTTAACCGCCAAGCCACGGAGCTGGCCCTATTGTTAAGTTTTAATCAATACACTCTCCACTACCCTGCCAGAATGACTGATCCAAAATGTGAATTTGGTCACGTCATTCCCTTGCTTAACATTCTTCAGTGGCACCCCGTTGCACTTAGGATAAAGTTAAACCTCATGGCCAGCAAAGGCCTTCATGATCTGGCCTCCATCTTTCTAGCTTCATTTTTTTCTCTTTGCCATGCAAAAAAATTCTACAGAATTAGAATTCTCCAGCCATATGGAACGAAACACTCCACATCTCTGCATACCCTTCTCCCTCTACCATACTGTAATCCCCATCTTCCATAGTGAGGAAAGTCTTACTCATCCTTCCAGACTTAACTAAGGCCTCTGTCTGTTCACTAAGGCCTCTGTCTATTCCTTCCTCCAGGAACCTTCTGTGACCCCCATCCTCAGGCTGGGTTTCTATGTGCCTCCTCTATGCTCTCACGGTTGGCATCTTGTCCTTGCTGCATTGGAGTGGCTGTCTTGCTGCATTTAATTGTCTTTTCATGTGTCTGTGGCCGCCGCTAGTCTGTGAGCTCCTTGTGGGCAGGGCCTGAGTCTAGTCTGTGTCTCTAATTCTGCTCCTTCAGCTTGAGTCCCCTCCCTTGAGGTGGGGTATGCTCTGTATTAAGGGATTCTCCAAGACAGAAAGGGAGCAGTGTGTCAGGAATCAGCATTCTAGCTTCTTCCGTCACCCCACTCCCTGTCCTGTGAGCTGGTGGTGGTGGTGGAGTGTGCCCATGAGGAGCGAAAAGGGACTTAACAGAGACCCAAATATGCCAGGCGTGTCCCCAGAGCCTCTCTCAGGTTTGACCTCTATGCACTGTCCCCATCCTCCTGCCCCCCTCTCTTCAGCCACTTTGATTTCCCTTCTGCTCTGGCGTCCTCCCCACAGACTCGGAGTCTGCCGGAGTACAACCAGCTAGTGGACAGCAGCCTCCACTGTGTGCTGTCCCCCCACCCTCTACCAGCTCCAAGCCAGAAATGCTGCCAAGGCCTCAGAGACCTCCACACTCGGTGCCTGACTGATGCCCATTAGAAGCTAGAAGATGGGCCGGCCCGGTGGCAAAAGTGGTTAAGTGCGCGCTCCGCTGCAGTGGTCCGGGTTTCGCCGGTCAGATCCTGGGCGCGCACTGACGCACTGCTTGGCAAGCCATGCTGTGGCGGTGTCCCATATAAAGTGGAGGAAGATGGGCACGGATGTTAGCCCAGGGCCAGTCTTCCTCAGCAAAAAAAGAGGAGGATTG